CTGGGCTCTGAGCTGGTGAGCCATCTCTCCTGTGCCGTCTCTGATTTTATATGGTATAAATGCTGCATTACGCTGGAAGCTAGAAACACATCGCAGGCTAACTCACAGGGGAAAGGCAAATGAGAGAACAGCTTTAAACCATAACAGATGGAAGATGATGACTTCAGATACATGGAAGCTGTAAGAAACAAAGAGAGCCTGGGGGCAGGAGGTGAGAAGTCATGGCCCTGCTTTGTCCAGTAGCCTGCCGGGTCACAGTGGAGCATAGACCAGGAAAGAGAGGATGCAGGCTGCACTACCCTTCGGGGCTTCCAACAGTGAAAGTCCCAGCAGGCTAACGTATGTGCTCATCTTTCGAGCCCATTGTCACGGTCAGGGTTTCAGGACAAGGCGGGAGTCCAGCCTGAGTGGAAGGCACAGCTTCAGCCAACAGAGAGGAAAAAACAGTGTGGGCCTGGTCTGAGTGTTTGGATACTATGGAGAGGAAGAAAAACAAAGATGCCTGGACTCATGAGCCCGAGAGACAGACAGACAGACTACAAAAGATGGAGAAGTAAATTATACAAGACGCTCAGAGTCACTGAAGAGAGGCTCGGTGGTGAAGCCCTTGCCACACGGGTGTGAGCACCAGAATTCAGATCCCTAGAACTTATGTGTGGTGGCTTTCCCTGTAAGCTCGGCCTGGGCTTTCTGCCAGCTGGCTAGTGAGACTAGCCATATGAACAAGCTCTGGGTTTGAGAGACCCTGGCTCAAGGACTAAAGTGGGAGAGTGATGGAGGTTAATTCTTCACATCAATCTTGGGCCCCCACATTCATGTTCTCACATGTACATGAGCACCCTCACATATGTGCCCACACACCTAAAAAAACCTCATGCACACATGCATCACACACACACACACACACACACACACACACACGAAAACAGAAAAAGAAAAACAAATCAACAAAGTTGTCCTCAAACTAGCAGAGGTTTGAAGGCCTGATTTGCATCAAGCTCACAGCTGCCTCACTTGACTGCAGAGAGAGATAAAGCCTCCCCCGCTCCCTTTGGGGCAGATGTGGTAAGTTTGATTGTGAAATTCAGTTAGGTGCCTTCTGCAGGGCCTGCCTCCTCCTCCACTCCTGGAAACTAGTTACTCAGAGCTGATTGCCTAGTTTTACCTCCCCAGCAGCAGGACCCAGGAGAGCCCGTGGGCCTGGAGCCAGAGGTTGGCTCTACATGCCGACCCAGCATGCGGCAGCCTAACTTTTCTATCTTCTCTTCTTCCAAGACCCTGAAATGCACGTGTCCACTTCGAGCCACCTCGAGACTGGCAGATATATGCACCTCATTTAAACGACTCATGGAAAGCGATTCCCGTTAACCTCACCAGGGAAAATGTCACTGACCTCTCAAACCTCTCAAGTCACACCCCTGCATCTGTGAGTGGTAGCAGTGCGAAGGCTCAATGCTGTGGCCCAAACCAAGACCCAGACACTCCAGTGTCACCAATGGCTCCGCTGTCCCCAGCAGCACTGCGCTGGCTAGTTTTGAGTCAACTCGACAGAAGCTACCGTCATCTGTGAGGAGGAGTCTCCGTTGATAAAGGGCCTCCATAAGGTTGGGCTGCAGACAAGGCTTAATTTTCTTAATTGTGATGGATGTGGGAGGGTACAGGCCATTGTGGGTGGCGCAAGTCCTGGGCTAGTGGCCCTGGGTGCTGTAAGGAAACCAGCTGAGCAAGTTACGATGAGCAAGGCAGTAAGTGGCACTCCTGGCCTCCGCATCAGCTCCTGCCTCCAGGTCCTGCCTCATTTAGTTCCTGTCCTGACTTCCTTCAGTGATGGACTTTAATATGGAAGTGTAGTCAAATAAGCCTTTCCTCTCCACGCCGTTTTTGTCTCATCGCAGCTATAACTAGCACAGAAATTGGTACCATGAGTGAGGCATTGCTGGGACAGACCTGACCATGTAGTTTTGGGGAGGACTGTAGAAGGACTCTGGAACTTTGGGCTTGGTGAGCTGTTCTGTCAGAGCTTGGAAGATAAAAGTGTAGTTAAGGGAAGTGCAGAAGACGGAGGCCTGATGTGTGATGTTCCAAAGGGAAGTTTGAGACAAGCATCTTTGTTCCTTGGGCGGGGGGGGGGCATCAACACGGCATTCGTTATACCTCTGGGTATATTCCAGACTTAGGGGCATAAGCCTTCCAGACCCTGTGATGGGTGTTGGGCGTGGGTGTGAAGACAAGGGCTGCTGAGTCTAGCTTTCCATAGTATATAACAGAGCAGTGCCGCCCAACATTACATCAGCCACATACAACATTAAAGTCCTATAATGACTTTCCAGGGCCTTGGCATGAGGTCCCCTTCTTGCCGTGCACCCGCATTCCCAGATTTGGCCACACGTACCCTTAGCTTCAAACACAGCCCAGTAGCCCCGCCAGCAAGCAGGACCCTCCCACCCCTGCTCTTGTCACCAAGCTGATCTTCCCACAGGCTGTTCCTGCTTCTGGAGTCACTGGTTCCCTTTCTCCAACCACCATTGCAGGTTTCAGGCTACAACTCACTTCCTAGTAGACCTTGGTGACTCCACCGCCAGAGTGTCCTTAGGTTTCACATTTCCTGTGTCTACATGCATTAGACTTGCCGAGCTTTTAAAGAAGCTTAGCTGGCTTGTCAGTAAAGTGGGGGACTCCAGGGCATTTCACCATGCCTGGCACTGAGCAGGCACTCTGCAAGGACTGGGCAGGCCCCAAGAACAGATACACACAGGGCAGGTGTGCCGGAGGATGACTGGGTAGCTACAGAGCACCGTGTAAGCCCAGCTCTACCCAGGGCCTTGGCTTCCTGTCTGGGCCACAAGGACAGATTTGTTCTCTTGTGGTCTTCCCCCTGCCCGACCTTCAAAGAACGAGGCATGTGAAGGACATCCACCCGGCCACCTGACGCTGAGCTAGATGCTTATGGCACGATGTTGGTCACACCAGCTGCACAAGGCCAGCAACCAACAGTGCTCCATTAGGCCTGTCTTCAGCGCTGGAGGCAGAGAATGGTGTGCACTCCTCACCAGGGGACCTCGACCCTGAAGCCTACCTAAAGCCTACCTTTCCAATGCTGTGCCACTTACCACTTCCTTACTAAGTCCCTTCTCCAGCCAGTGAGCTCTGGGGAGAAAATAGCAGAAAGACACAGAAGCCACAGTCATTCCTAGTAGGGCTAGACAAGCCCAGGAGACGCAAGCCAGAGGAGTCCATCTCAGAATCACTTCTTGCCCATTCCAAAGAAGAAGGCCACAGGCTGCTCCATCCTAGGGAGCAGACTTGAAAGGGAGCAATGAGGTGACTTTTCCAGACAATTGTCAGCAAACAGTTCACGGCTGCTGGCCCTGGAGATTCTGTTCCATTTGGGGGGCAAGTGTGGTGGTTTCAATGAGATTGAATGTCTGGTTCCTAGTTTGTGAACTATTCAGAAAGGATTAGGAGTTGTGGTCTTGTTGGAGAAGGTGTGTCCCTGGGGGGGGTTCAAAAGTCCATGCCAGGACCTGTCTCATAGTCTGTCTTGTCTGTCTGTCTCTGTGTGTGTGCGCGCGTGCATGTGTGCATGCACCCATGCATGCGCATGCATACTCCATGCCTTCTGCCTGCGGATCAGGATGCAAACTCTCAGCTACTGCTGCCTGTCTGCCTGCCAGCGAGCTTCTCACCATGATGATCATACACTAACACTCTGAAACTGTAAGCAATTCCCCCTTTAAATGCTTTTCTTGTATAAGTTGCCCTGGTCATAGTGTCTCTTCACAGCGAGGTTATAAACGAAAATTAGTTCCAATATTGACAAATTAGATGGTTTCACTTTAGAATTGCAGACACAGGCCTATAATCATAGCTACTTGGATGCAGTGGCAGGTCAAGGGTGAGATCAAGGCCAGCCTGGACTACTTAGTAAGACCCAAAAGACAGCACAAGGGCTGGGCACGTGTCTCCGTGGTCAAGTGCCTGCCTGACATGAACTTCACCCCAGATTAAATCCCAGCACTAGAAGGGGGAAAAAAAAGAAGAATCCAAATGTCCGATCATGGGAGAAGACTCTATGGGAAGAGGGTTAACCCCCAGAACCCAGGGACAGAGAGGTACAGGGTAGTCAAGCAGATAGTAAACAGCCCTGAGGACCCTCAGTAAGCAGGGTGGGTGCTGGAAGCAGGAGGCGACATCAAGACATCCCCACCCCCTGCCCCGCCCTTCAACAGCCTTGCCCAGAACCCACAGTCCTTCCAGGGACTTAGGGCCTTTGGTGGTCCTCTGGAAAGACAGAGAGGCAACTTCAGAACCCCACCCCGCCTACCTGTCTCACAGCCATCCTCTGGTGGCTGCACAGGGACTAACGGCCAGATCTGAGAAGACAAACGCCTTCTGGGAAGTCAGAGAGTTCCTACACAGGATGCCCGACAGCGGCTCAGCGCTCACGAAGAAGCAGAGACTTGCGAACTACCTGAAGAACAGTGTGCTTTTCACACATCTGCTAATCGATCGCTTGGCTCATGTCCGACAACACCAGTGTCACCTCGGGGAGCACCCTCATGAATGATTTATGAAGAAAACAGTTAACACAATGGCAAGCTATAAATGACAAATGTTTACACCTACTTTGAATATTGGCCTGCTTGAACAGCTCTCTTTAGAAATGGCTAATGTGCACTCGGGAGGCAGAGGCAGGCGGATCTCTGTGAGTTCGAGGCTGGGCTGGACCGATAGCCTCCAAAACAATACAGAGAAACCCTGTCTCGAAAAACCAAAAAAAAAAAAAAAAAAGAAAGAAAGAAAGAAATGGCTAATGTGCCCTTTTTAAAAAAAATTATTAGTATTTGGTCAGCACAAGGTACCAGCTGCAAGTTGGAATTTTCCCTCGGATCTAGAATGAGTCAGAAGAGTCTGGGCAGTTCCCAATCCTAGGCAACAGGCTGCTGTGACCACATAATGGCAGGAAAAACTCATTGCAAAAGCAGAAGGCAGAGAGGTACCTGCTTCTTGTCCTCCAGTTTCTTGAAATCTTCACACGCTAGCCAAAACAAGACGTTTTCTTCACTGAATTCCTTTTTTAAAAATTCCTATAGATGAAAAAGGGGGAAGGGAATCATATAGTGCCCAACGTTGAGAAAACACAAGTTTCCTTTAGAAGATGACAAGGCAAAAGCAGACAGAGGAGCCTAGTTTAATCATCTCTTGAAAAAACTCCACCCGGAAAAACAAAGAGCATGTTTAATGTTGAAGCAAGAATTTCTTACGCATTTCACCTTAATGGTTTTGACACTGCAAGGCAGAATAAAAATGAAGCGGGGAATCTATTCGCATTTCTAAGCTGACAATAAATTACCAAAAAGTAAATTAAAGTGGAAGATATATCAGCCCCTTCCAGACACTGTTTAAACAAAGTGCATTCCTCCAAAGCCAGGCCCTTTTTTTTAAACAAAAGAAAAGAAAACATATTAAGCCTGTCCAAATCACAATGATAGAGACCATTTTAAGTTGGAGGTGTGCTTTATGGAACAGTTAGCACTCGGTCAGCTCTGTGGTTGCATTCAAGCCTCCCTGGCATCTAGAAGATGCTTACAGTTCTACTCCCCAGCCCAGGAGCTCCGTGGGGACCAGTGGCACCTTGGCCTATCACTTAAAAAGCCAAGTTGCCAAGGATCAGTATTGGAATTCATGTGTGACCCTCCAATGGGCAACAGCAGTCATACTGGTAGAAAAAGTTGTTTCTTAATATCAGTCCTTCCTGTCCATCAGTCCTTCCTGTCCATCCTTCCTGTCCATCAGTCCTTCCTGTCCATCAGTCCTTCCTGTCCATTAGTCCCTCCTGTCCATCAGTCCTTCCTGTGCATCAGTCCTTCCTGTCCATCAGTCCCTCCTGTCCATCAGTCCTTCCTGTGCATCAGTCCTTCCTGTCCATCAGTCCTTCCTGTGCATCAGTCCTTCCTGTGCATCAGTCCTTCCTGTCCATCAGTCCTTCCTGTCCATCAGTCCTTCCTGTCCATCAGTCCTTCCCTGTCCATCATCAGTCCCTCCTGTCCATCATCAGTCCCTCCTGTCCATCATCAGTCCTTCCTGTCCATCAGTCCCTCCTGTCCATCAGCCCTCCTTTGGGGGATTCCTTCCCCCTGCTTCACTTTGTCAGTTACCCTCCAGCCTCTCTCACCAGTAGTGATGCATCCAGAGTGTCTGAGACTGGAGAGAACAAACCTTCATGCCAGAGAAGCCCAGATCATCCCTGCCAGTCCTGGAAATCCTTCCTCCAGATCCCACACTAGTAGAGCATCCCTCCCCATCACCCTACCCCACCCCCAACTGTATGAAAATCAGAGACAGGCTGCATGTCCCTTTGAAAGTCCAGCGTGGTCATAAGAGATGAGCAGCTCTCAGACTCTGGCTGGAGCAGACAGTGTTAAACACTGTCCTGGCCCCGTGCCCCCACCTCCCCACCACAAACACAGCTAAGCTTTTCCTATTGCATCAGTTCTAATGATCAGTGAAAAGACAAACCCTGAATCTCATCACGCCTTCTGGGTCTTCCAGAAGATTCTCCAAGGAGGATGCCCACTTGGCTGTGCTCTTGAGGCCTTGGTGGCTGCTGCTTGAGCTCCCGTCGCTGTCATGGATATCTACAAAACACAGTTCAGACAATGTCACCACCCAAAGATTGTCCCACGCAGATGGTGCATATGAGGATATTATTGTAAATGTACACTGCAAAGTCATCACTGACATTGTCACCAAACCAGCATGACTGCCACAATAGACTCAGTCTACTGAGTGGGGAGTCACTATTCCTTCTGCTGTTCAGGCAAAACAAAGCAAAAACAACTAAGTGAGGATCAGAGAGGGACTTGCCGTTTCTATTACACCCTACTACGTCCCAGTTTGTCCAGGGACACTTGAGTCTCTCTGCATCCCACCTCCCAAGGACCCCACCTCAGCATCGACTCTCTCCTCTCCCCTGTTGCAGTTATGGTCACTCCATGGATCCGAAACTCCCATACAGCAGCATCTTTGGCATCTTCCTTACATGGAAGCATGTAAAGCAAGACCAGGACCAGGACAATCACACCAAGGGTTGTCCAGACCCACAGGCAGCAAGATACATATCTTCATGTGAGCTCTTTTTAATTTCACAATTAGTGCTCAAAGAATCCACAATGGGGCTAGGGATGTGTAAGGGTTAGAAAGCTTTGCCTAGCCTGAGTCCCAGAACAAAGGAAATCCATGACGAGCAAATGGCAGCTTTGTAAATAAAGCACCAGTGTCTCCATATCAACTTCATCTGGTTTCACACCACACTTAGCCAGTTTTTATTTAAAGGTTCATTATCCGGTCCATTGTGGCGGTCTCTGCACTAGTTTAGTGTTTTGTTTTTTGTTTTTTAAATATGTCGCATCTCTAAAAAGATAGCAGAGGATGTAACTCAGTTGGAAGAGTGCTTATCTAGCATACTCAGACCCCAGGGTCCCTTCTTCACCTACACAAAAGCAGCCATGGTAGCACCTGCCTAGGATGCTAGCACATGGGAGGTAGAGAGATCAGGAATTCAGTCATCCTTGGCTACACAGTGAGTTCAAAGCCAGCTTAAGAAAGATGAGATGCTGTCTATGAATGAATGAATGAATGAACTATCACTGACCCTGAGGCAGACCCCTAACCTGTTGGGGCACAGGGTGAATGCGTGACTGCTTGGAATGTCTTACACTAACAGGCTTGGTCTAACACCCTCTTTACCAAAGAAAAAAGTGTCAGAAGGGGTCAGACCATCACACTGGGGCCACTTGGCTGAAAGAGGAAAAAATGTACAAAATCTGTCTACAGACCTGACCCAGTCCTAGAATCATGGGAAAACCACTAGCATGTCGTTTCAGGTGAGTCAGAGTTCAAAACCCAGCTTGATTGGCTTGAGCTACAAGGTCATGGTAAATCTGTGTGTGCACATGGAGAGATTCCTCCAGTGTTATCTAAGGATTCAAGACGAAAGTACAAAGTGTATACTTTCTCCACCATGGTGGGGGGTCTTGCATGTTCTCGACACAAAGAATGAGAAGAACCAGAAGTGGAAGATACGGTAATTACCCTGACCTGATCCTGATACAACAATGCACTTAAATGCCCCCCCATGTCTAACAAATATACAGAATTACTGTGTTTCCATTGGGGGACAAAAAACAGTAAGTCTATCTGAGAGCAGCACCCTGTCAGTCTCTTTCTCCCCTTTCTGGAGAGAATGACCTACCAAGGGGACTGTATGTACAGCACTAGAGACAAGGCTATATTTAAAGAAAAACAAAAAACCAACTTGATTCTAGGAGAAAATAAACTTTCAATTAAGAGACCAACAAAGTAAATCACTTTTAAAGCATGATTGGAAAAAAATCTTATAACTTACTAATCACTGAAAATAGCTGAAATATCTTTTAAGAAAATTCATATCAGAATATATTAGACTTGGGCCCAAGGAGTTAGGTTGGTGGTGAAGTGCCTCTTGTACATGAGGACCAGGGTTCAATTCCCGGCTCCCACATGTGAGCCTAACTAAACTGGTAAGCCACAGGCCACTGAGAGACTCTGTCTCAAACACAAAGTGGACAGCTACTAAGGAACACTCAAAAAGTTGTTCACTGGCTTCCCCACATATGCACATACACTTACATGCATATCTGTATACACACAGAGAGAGAGAGAGAGAGAGAGAGAGAGAGAGAGGGAGGGAGGGAGGGAGGGAGGGAGGGAGGGAGGGAGGGAGGGAGGGAGGGGGAGAGGGAGAGGGAGAGGGAGAGGGAGAGGGAGAGAGAGAATGCTAGACCTAAGAGCTGACAGTTGGTGTTCTTTTAGGGGGCAAAGAAACATATCCTAGGCTTGATTTCATTTGGGATTTTGAGAGTCTCACTTTGCAGCCTAAGCTAGCCTAGAACTTAGAATCTTCTACCTTGGCCTTTCCAGGCTGGAATTGCGTGTCTGTACCACCACATGCAGATCCACACCTTAACCTCTTATTTGCTGGGGTTCCATCTCAGGAACCTCTACAAAACAGCATCAGAAACCTGGGACAGTGTGCTGCTGATGCTGGTGACAATGTGAGAAGTTACTTGTACAGTGCCACTTCTCTCATCAGAGCAAACTCCCTGGAACACTTTACCAAACGCCCCTGCAGACCTTCTGAAGTGACTCTCTCCAGCTCATGGGTAAGAAAGAAATGGGTGCCTGACTCCTATCCATCATGGAACGTCAATCCCTGGACACAGTTTCTCCCCATGTGTCAGATTCTTAAGTCATCATTACAAGAGATTTCCATTCCGCCAGGCATCCCTCCAACTTACCTTCTGTCCTCTGCCTGGAGAATACAGTTTGACCATTTACTCCACTGCCCCAACAGATCCTCATAAGCAAATAAACAGCAGGACACAAGTGCCCTGTTCTAGGAACTACCTCATCCAGCCACAAGTTCTCGTCCATGTTTTCAGCCGTGGTCTGAAAGGACGGCAGAATTCTTGGCACTCTTTTAAATAATCAACCACATCGTGCAAGGGGCTTCACTGCCCTGGTCTCTGGCAAATAAATGCATTTGGTGGATTGCACTCATGCGTTGAAAGCTGGCTCTGCTGCTGGGGAAATGCAAACCACCCCTTTACTGCTGATGCTAATCAAATTTGTGGATTAGCTTTTTGTGGAAGCTTCCAGGAGAACAAAAATGAGATGGCCCCTTTGGTACCTGAGGTCAATCCCTAGCACCCACATACAACACCAGCACCCACATACACCCACATGTGGCAGTACCTATGTAAGCCCAGTTCTAGGGAGGCAAAGACAGGATTGCTGGGGCTCACTGACAAGGCAGTCAAGCTTAATCACAGAATCAGTGAGAAATCACGTCCCAAAATAACAAGGTGAAAGTGACTGACGTGAGATCAATCTCTGGCTTCCACACATACGCTGTACTCATGCATATGCACAAGCACAGGCATGCACAGAATGTATGTTCACAAGCACAGGCATGCACAGAATGTATGTTCACAAGCACAGGCATGCACAGAATGTATGTTCACAAGCACACACATACACAGATTGTATTGCACAAACACACACATACACAGAATGCATGTGCACCAGCTCACATATATACATAATGTATGTTCACAAGCACACACATACACAGAATTATGTGCACCGGCACACACATGCATGCGAAGTTGCACAACTCCATATCCACTATTTAGACTGCCTCCTGGACTAGAAACAAAAGTCTAAGCCAGGTGTTGTGGCACATGCCTTTAATCCCAGGGCTTGGGAGGCAGAGGCAGGGGGATCTCTGTGAGTACGAGACCAGCCTGATCTACAAGAGCTAGTTTCAGGACAGGCTCCAAAGCCACAGAGAATCCCTGTCTCAAAAAAAAAAACCAGAAAAAAAGGCTAAGACAATGACTTCTCCTGGATGACATGTCTAAAGAATCACCACATGGAACCAGTGGGATCTATCTGTCCCCATCAGGACCACCTCCACAGGACTTTAGGGTTCTTGGAAAACAGAAAATGTAGTCTCTCACAGGTATGCTCTAGGGCTCTCTTCTCCCTTTCATCAGGAAAAAATAATACTGTGTAATTTTTTTTCAGGGGAGGCTTAGAAAGGTATTCTCAAAAGTCCTGGTTTCTAGTGCTTTAACTTCAGAACGCGGGCGTGTGTGTGTGTGTGTGTGTGTGTGTGTGTGTGTGTGTGTGTGTAGGTGGGTGCACTGCACAAGGAGGCCAGAAGAGGGCATCAGAGCTGGAGTTCCAGATGGTTGTGAGCTGTGGAACCAGCATACTAAGAACCAAACTCAAGTCTTCCCAGAGTGGTATGCACTCTCAGCTGCTGAGCCTCTTTTGAGTTCTCTCTTAACTAAAAGAAAGCCTTCCCTTTTGTCCATCTCTGCCACTGTAACTTTCCCACAGGATTCTTCTCCCTGCTCCTGTCATGTGTTTTCACTTTCCTTGGATATTGGTTTGGGTCTTTTCCAAGACTTCAGATTGACTTTAAGGGTTTTTGTTGTTTGTTTTTCAAGACTGGGGATTGACTCCAGGACCTTGCACATGCTAGGCAAATGCTCTTCTGCTAAACTATGTTCCCACCCACTACCTCTCCCTCCTCTTCCTCCCCCTCCCCCTCCTCTTCTTCATTATGAGAAACGATTTCCCAGGGTGGCCTTGAAATCACTCTGTAGCCCAGATAGGTACCGAGCTCCACAACCACCATGCCTCAGCCTCCTGAGGAGCTGGGATTACAGGTCCATGCCATCAGAGTCAGCCTGACTTTCAAGTCAGAGTAAGACTTTTGTTGTTGTTACACCAAACAGATCTTCAACATCTGCAAACACAATTCACCTAATGGCATTTATGTTTTGTCTAGTTTTTTCATTTCTGCAACAACTTGCCTGGAGCAGGTTACTTTAGAAAACAAGAGGTTTATTTTAGCACATTAATTCGGCTCCCAGAGGCCCCAGATCACAACAGCATATCTGGAAAATGTTCCTTCCACCTTCCTGATGCCTCACAATGGGAACTGCATTTCAAGACAGATTCAAACTGCACCCGGATCATAGCAAGCCATTGTCCCCAGGCTCCCGAAAGACGATCACCAGCCCAC